TATGTCTGAAGTGCACGTCTTGCTCTTCCATTTTTAAATTGGGATAAAAACAAAACTGAAGAACTAATCGATATAATTTTTGTACTAAATGAAAGGTAGAAGTCCAAACAATAAGAAAAAAATATAGGTTAGGTACTTTGAACACGTTAACGAAACAAAAGAAAGTGTAAGATCCATCTGTCGACAAAATCCGCAATCACTTAGTTGCCAACCCAATATTTTGTCTTTCTGTGCACTAAAATTTAGATTTTATATATTAAGAAAAAATTATAGTATTTTTAACAAAATTTATACAGTTGAAGCTTTTTGGTTGCTGCAACAAAAGTATTACGTTATACGAACAAATACCGTAATCAAACAAGATATTTGTTTACAGGAACTAAACAGTTTCGTTGGGCATATTTTAACCAAATTATTTTGTTGTTACAACAAAATTTTGGTTCACGCGACAATACATTTTTCCTAGTGTAGGAAAATAGTTATCTAGTTATCTTGGAATCTTATTTTTTCTCTCTTCTTTTGCTTCTCATTTCGCTTACCTAACCCGCGGAAGTGAGAAGCGCGCGTCTTATTGAGATCTCGACCTTACCTCCGCGATAATGCGCCGTCTTGTGCGTTACGCAAAATCGTTTACATCACGCGGAATCCTCGGCAGTCTGCGTCGCGCATCGCATTTAAATTGACACGTGCGCGCGCGGCGGTCGCGCGTGGGATATCGATTGTATAATCGACGAGCGCGGATTAATTAGGTCGATCTTCGTGCGCACAAACCGGGAATCTCTCTCACGCGCACTCATGCCGGCACGTTATCGCACGTCGTTCGCAATCGCTCTCCTTTTTTCTAAATTTCCTTTTTCTCCGTCGCCGCGCGTAAACACCGCCCGCCACCCCCGGCCGTCATACTTATTGCATGATCGACGAGCAAGGCTGGCCGAGTGGCTGAGCGTAGCTTTAATTGCTACTGCTCGCAACCATCGGCCATTAACTGGGTTGATTTTCTTCGTGGATATAAAGAGAAGGTGTCAAGGATACGCGCGCGCGCGAAAGGTTTAATCGCGATTCCGAACGGCAGCGGCCGCGAGCTCAACGCAACGATTGACAAGAAAATTGGAAAATGCTAACGCGTCCGAATAGAACGCGTTGGCATTTTCGCCATTTCTTTTTCTTCTTTTTCTTTTTTTTTTTTTTTTTGCGTGTAATTCCGCAGCGTCCGTTGTCCGAAATCGGACGGCACACACACACACACACACGGTAGACGTCGGTAGGCAGAAATATCCGTCAATTGGTATCGACCATAATGTAATTTGAAAGCAGCGAAACCGCCGACGGCAATGGTCCGCTTGGCAATTGATCGTTAGTGTGATAGATCGTTGGTGATGCAAATAGGTTAATGACCATGAATCTTCATGCACATGGCCTGACAGTTTTTCTATTAAGCCCGTTATTGGCGGGCAGCGCGCGCGCTCAATGTCGTGCTGTTATCGCGCGCCGGGAGCGTGTATTTTCTCCTCGCGCGCGCGAGTAACATCACTTTCTACCGCTTCACCGCGAAAAAGATACACGCGGCGCCCGGTCCGAGAAACTTTCCAACCGAAGGTTACGACCCGAACTTTCCACTCTGAACCTTCTTCAATTTATCTGGTAAGCCCTCATCGATTAGGCGCGGCGCCATTTGAGGTAAAGGGAGGAGGCTTGCGGGAAGAAACGATCATCGATCGCCGCCGTTACATTAATTTCGAGCGCCGGCCGCGGCGCGGAAGTCGCCGAGTCTAAAGTGTCGTCTACAATGGCAGCAAGCAGTAAGAAGTAAGCGTGAACAGTAAGAAATGGATCAACCAACCACAGTTGATTATTTTTGTCATAATCGACTGTGATTGCTTTATTTCTTATACCGCTTACGCTTACTTCTTACCGCTCACTCCCATTGTAGACGACGCTTAAAACGCTGTAATCGCGTTGATGGACGTTCGATGTTGCATTGTTCCGTTCGCGTCGATGCAACAGAATCCGCCCGTTCGACGAGTTCGCGTTAACGAAATTAAAATAATATTTACGAATGCCCCCTCGTTGGTCCTCTCCCCCTCTCGTGGCCGTGGTATATCACCGGAGGATGATGTTTACCACGACGGCGCGTTATTCCTGGCTCGATGTTGACCGCCGTAAAGCAAGAGGAGTAAAAGATCCTAACTGCTACGGCGGGTTATCCCAAGTGGCCGGGCGGTGTTTGTGAAATAAAACGCGTCCATTCGAGGGTTAAAATCTACGTGGAGTAGCTCCACGTGCGGCGCGGCCAATCTCGCAAAGGTTCTCTTCTTCTCTTTCTCTCTCTCTCTCTCTCTCTCTCTCTCTCTCTCTCTCTCTTTATGTTGCATGCATCAATTCCCAAAGTCAATTAATCTAATGGATCCGTCCGCCCGTTTCTCTGATCCTCTGCCCTACCACCTTCCATCCCCTGCCTCTTTGTCGCGATGTTCTCCTTCTGCTCCTCCTTCGCTCCTCTTTCTCTCTCTCTCTCTCTCTTCCTCCCTCCCTCTCTTGCTCTTTCTGTCTCGCTAAACGCGTTCGTTGTGCAACGAATACATCTAGGAGCGGTTGCGACGTACTTAATTTCTATTCACTCGACTGAGCGAGCGTAAACGTACGCGGCATCCACGCGTAAATATGCGAACACACCCACATGTTATCTTGGTGTGCTCGACCAGGTGAGAAGTGAAAAAGAAGAAAGGAAAGGGGAGAGAGAGAGAGAAAAAAGAAAGAAAGGAACGAAGACAATGAGTCGTCGAGCTGACGATCGAATCGGTGATTGCGATGCGATTGCTTCGGTATTCCGCGGAGAGAGAAAGAGATGATCGGCGATCGAAACGGATAGGATTTTTCGCAGAGAAGAGAACAACGGCAGAGAGAGAGAGAGAGAGAGCCGATTTCTGTCCGAAACGCGCCGTGTTGTGACGATCAGATAAAGCTGTGCGAGAGAGGTTTCTGCGTTTTTTGCTAGCTCGTGGATTTCGCAAACGTCGTGGATTGTTGGAACTTTATCGCGATGTCACGCGTATCTGTGTGTATCACACGCATGACGTTTCGTCTTCTGTACGCGTGTGCGCTCACGCGCGTGTATGTACATGTGCGTGTAAACACGCATGGTTTAGCGATTTGAGAAATCGCCAATCGCGCGCGGCAGTCTTTAAAACTCGGGGTTATCTGCTACGTCACGCGGTGTGATGGATCGCTGCTTTAATTGTGCGCCGCGGCACGGTAATGACGGTAACCCACTCGAATCGCGAGAAAATCTCGAGATTTGCGCCTCAAGTTTGTCTCCTCTCAACTCGTCTCATCCCTCCCCCCTCTCTTTCCCTCCTCGGATACAGCGGATACTCACGAAAGGTGTCGCAGGAATACATGTATAAGTGTATGTGTGTGTGTGTGTGTACACATACACGCGCACGCGCGCGCGCACACACACACACAAACAAACACATACATACACACATTTCTCTGTCTGTTCATAGACGAGTTGCGCAAACGAGCATAGTCGGCTCTCGTAATGCACGCTCGCGCGAGAAATGCAATTTTGTCCTGAGAGATTTCTCGTGCATTTTCCGACCCCGTGACTTTGTAGGCGAATCAATTATAACTGTGCAGTGTTTAACCCGCGCGAAATGGCGGGTTAAATCCCCAGGAGGAGCCGCAGAGCCTGAGAGCTTTCCTGACCCGATTCTCGATCGCGCGAAAAATTTCCGAACGTCGTTGCTGTATTGCGTTGAACAACAGCACTGATTAACTAATGGAACGCCATGGCGAAACGCGCCGAGGTATCGATCATTTCTCGGAAAACAATTCTCAATGTACACGCTCGTACACACATATACACACACACACGCCCAACCTCGCTTTCATGCACGCTATTTTTGTCATTGCGTCCTAAAGACGGCCGCTGGCAAATTGCTGGTTTATCGCGTCGTCGTTTGCAAACATGTCAGAGTTCCTTCATCCTCGACACACATGCACACCGCAATTATCGTGTCGCGGTGTACTATCGGTAAAAGAAGGAAAGAAACAACCGCGCGCGCGACAGATAATCAAAGAAGAGAGAGAGAGAGAGACGCGCGTACAAGCGTGCGGCACCGCGCCGCGGCGAGTTCCATTTTCCAGGCTTCCACGGGGCTTTATGGGAAAACGCGTTAATCACCGCGATTCTCCTATCGCGGGCGAACACAAGGATCGCTTTGGCCGGCACGAGCCGTGGCGAATGCAGATCGCGTCGCCGCCGCCGAATTTCTCCGCCGTCAGCGAATTTCTCCGCTGATCGTCGCGAATCTCGGTCGCTGCTCTCATCCGGCCGTCGTTTCGTCGTCGACGCCGACGAAAACAATCATCGCGCGCGCGTTCACGAGCCTTTCGACGTGATGAGATATCGGCCTGTTTACACCACCGAAGTGTCCAATCTCTCCGCTCGGTCCGTCGCGTCGTCGAGCGACGAGGAATCATGCGAGGCATCATCACACACACACACACACACACACAGCTCACTCGCAAAGCACAGGTCTCCGTCCTCGGTTAGACTCTGAGACCTTTCCGCAATAACTCTTTTGCAATTTCCCCGCCGCCCCCCCCCCCCCCCCGCCCCGCCGTCTCAAGCATCACGTGATCACGTGTACACAGCGCGCGGCCGAAAAAAGAACAGACCGGGAGACGCATGAAGATTACATCTTGGATTCATCAAAATTACATCGCCTTCGACCTCAAGGCGATATCGGTATCAATTCATGAACGAGTCGCGACCTCGGAGAGGTCAGGCGCGTCGAGGAGGAGGAGGAGACTCCGCCGCACGCGCGCGCGTGTGTGCGAATGTATGTTCGTATATATATATGACGTACATATGTATGCTCGCATACGTGTGTACGACTCATGCATACACACATACGTCGACGACGACGCTAGCGGGCGGCAGACGGACGGACGGACGGACGAGCGGGAGCAGCGTATCGCGCTCGCTGGTAAGATCCAGTAACGAAGAGAGCTCGCGTGTCTCCGTCGCCGCACGGCGCGCTCAGTTAGCACGAGACTCGCGATCGAGCAGCACAGAGAGAGAGCTAGCCGGTGCTGCGTGCCACGACGACGACGACGACGACGACGACGAAGACCGGCTCTCTTGTCCTCCCTGTCGCTCTCTCGTACGTCCGCTCGCGAACGCTCGCGAGCGCTCGCGACTCGCTGTCGTCGACATACGTGCGTCGGATCGACGTCGATTGACGTCGCATCGCGGGACAACCTGCGGGGCCCAACCAAGGGAGCCGTGTGCGCGCGTGTGTATGTGTGCGGGTGCGAACTCTCTTCAGCCAAGTCGCCGCTACAGGGGCTAATAGGGGGGGGGGGTTGCGCGCGCTCTGTGTCGTCTCGCCGATCGTCTGTTGCGCTCGCGTCTAGCCGCGGCAGAAGGGCGCAGGGGTAGATTGACACACGGTAGATTGATCGCGCGCGAGAGTAAAGGGTGTCTTTTCTCTCTCTCTCGTACGGTTTCGCTCTGTTTCGTCGTGGCGACGAACGCCACGCTTTTCACTCGGCACGTGTGCTTTACTTGACGCGCGCGCGCGAGTCTCCGCTGCGGGTAGACCGGTGTCGAAGTTGCCGAGCAAAGTCTTTGGTTCGCCTCCGTGGCGGTTGGATGTGCTTCCTGTAACTAGGCATACTTTTATGATCGTGGGGACTGCGCACGCGCGTTGTCCCTGGTTTTCTTTCACCTTCGTAATCGTTCGCTTCTCCTCGCGTATCCTCGTATCATCAACCAGGGGAATTGTCCTGCCGAAAAGCTGGAGAATTGCGTGACCTCCTGGCGATACGTCATGCATATGTATGTGTTTGCACGCGTGCGGATGGAACGCGCCGCGCCCGCGCGAATGCGCGTGTGTGTCTCTCTCTAAGTTTCGTCGGTTCGGCCTTCCCAGCTGGCTCTCCGCGGCGGAAACAAGTTCCGCGAAGCGTCTCTCTCTCTCTCTCTCTCTCTCTCCCCGACTTGTGCTCGCTGCTGCGGCACATGGCTGCGACATGGAGGCGGAGGCGGCACATTTTGACGAGGGCGGAAGATCGCGGCGAGTGTGTCGAAGTAGTGAGGTCGCGCGCGCATCGTCGATTCCGCTCTCGCGGCGAATCGAGCGGCGGCGGCGGAAAAACGCGCGTCGCGAAGAATCGCGATCTGTCGGGCGGCGGTCGGGTGACAGTTCGATAACGCTATTGTTGTCACGCTCGCAACGCGCGATAATCCACGCGATTCGCCGCGCGGTGCGCGTCTTGTTTTTCGACGTTAGCTGCGGAGAATGTTGATTCTCCTGGAAATTTACGCGCGTGACGTGTCGCCCGCGCTGACGTCGGCGCGCGCAGGGAACACGTGTCCGGAGTATTATCCCGCTGATATTAATATCGACGATGTAAACATTGCCCCGACAATTGGCAAGCAGAGCGGCGTTCCTCTCCCGGATAGAGAAAGAGAGAGAGAGAGAGAGAGAGAGAGGCACGTCGCAGCGTAGCCATCGACGAAACCAACTCGCGACCGCTGCCTGCGGTCTCGCCCGGCGACGAGTAACGTCGCGCGCATTCGTGTTGAGTAATTCCCCTTGGTCGGATAACCATACGTTGGCCATTGCCGCGACGAGGCGAGGGGAAGGCGCGCGCGGTAGGATTTCATACGGTGAATTTTGGACGACGAAATGTCGCCCGTTGGTCCGGACTTGAGCTCGTTAAGGCGTTGGGTGTTTCTCAGCGCGAATTATTTCATACGTAATACGATATTCTAGACTTTCGCGGTCTGCGGGGTAGGGGGAGGAGGGAATAAAATTCGATTTGATTTCCGGGTATTTGTGCGTCGCGTCCGTCTCGGCTTTGTTTCCGAACGATCCAGTTCACTTCCTCGAGAGGAGAATCATCCGGAAACCGGTCGACTCTCTCGGTTTCTGGGTGACGTTGAAGAGACGTCTCGGAAACGAAAGCAAGATGGACGCGCGTCGCACAAGCAAGCCCGGTTCGAATCGAAGGGGAAACATTTGAAACGTAATATTTCGAGACGCGACGAGAGAGTCGCTTGGAGAAGCGGGATTTCAAAGCACTTGGACGTCATGTTGCGGACGCGTCAAGTCGTCAAATCTTGAGTAATCGATTTCGTTGAAAAGAGGAGCATTCGTGCGATTTCCGCAGCGTTCCGCGCGACACGCGACGTCTCGTCCCTCCGAATCTCTCCTCCGAGTCCCACGAACGTGTTCGCTCTGCCGATCTGCCGATCTGCATCTCCCCGCCGCCCGCGCCCCGGCTCTTCTCTCGTCGATCGCTAGCGAGCCTCCGCTTTGCATCCGCGATAACATCGATCCGTTCTCGCGTTCGACGCGCGCGTTCCGTTCTTGCGGAATGCGCTTGTCGGCCTGGCAAAAAGCAGAGCCGGCGCGCGCTCATTTCTTCGCAGCCGCGGCAGACCGACCGGTTCGCCGATTCACGCTCCAAACTAGCACTCTGACTTGCAGTTTCGCCGATTTAACCGTACGGAGACGTCGGTCGAGCCGCACAAACGATCCGAATGCGCGCCCGAAGGTCGTCGAGCGTACGTCTAGCGCAACGTTACGTAGTTGCACCCGCTCACTTTGACGACGTTGTATTTCACGGCGTTTTTTCACTCGCCGGTGCAACAGGTTCGCGCTCACTCGCTCGCAAGGATCCTCGCGAACGCGCACGGAGCGCCATTGATACTCGTGCGCGACTCGGCGCGGAGGGATCTATCGATCGCGACACGGCTCTGCCTTCCCGGCGCATGAGATGCGCTCCGTTCGCGCTTCGTTAACTCGCTCGCTCGATCAGCCGCCGATAAAACGCAAGCTATTTCGCCGTCGGCGAGCGACGTCTTATTATAGTCGTGTATTCGCAGTGATTACGCCGGGAAAAAGTTCCGTTGCTCTGACATCTTCCCTCTTTTTTGCAATCCCCCTCGTGCAAATCGTGCGAGCGTAGCGTTTCCGTAACGCTGCGTCATCGCGCAGCGCCGCTGTTAACCTTAAGTATCGTAATTCGTTTACGCTAATGTCATTAGGAAGTCGCGCACGACGCGAGCGAGTGTCTCTCTTTCCGCGCGCGACTGTCCGTCCGTCCGTCCGCCCGAAAAGGCCCGCGACCGCATTTTTCCCGTGAAAAGTAGCCGCGCGCGGGGTACCGTTTATTAACTCCCCCGACGTTTCTTCCGTCGCTTTGCATCCGCATAAACGCATGTGCGCGGGGAGCTTTTTTTAAAGTGAGAAAGTCGCCGCATGTGACAAAATCGTCTGTAACGGATTGTTCAATCCGGCTGATGATGAAGATACATAAATAAAGATGAGACGGGGGACTGCGCAGAGTTATAAATTATAGATGAATTAGCGATCGCGAGTCCTTCGTCCTCGGTAGCAGTCCTCGTGAACGCGTGCGACAAGCGTGCGCATTCATTGATGACGCGTTGCGACGCGCCGCTGGTCACCTCCGCGAAAAATTAGTCACAAGGAAGCAGGAAATTCAAAAATTCGGAAATTCAAAAAATTCTGAAACTTTGCGTGGAAGTAAAGTAAAGTTCATCCATGATGCAAATCGTACTACTTCTTGTTTGTTCGGAATGTAGTCTGAGGGGGTGAAACTACCCTTCGAAAGAAAAACCATTTCATCACTAGCGTGTGTCTTTCAAAATACGAGGCATATGCAAAAAATGGTTTATTTGAAAGTGCACAGCTGTGTGTATTCAGATTTTGCAAGGAAGTGGAGGAGGGCGGAGGGGGTTTCGGAAATTTTTCAATTTTGCAAAATCTGAATACACAGTTGCAAAGAGTATGAAATATACGACAACTTTCATATAAACGTTCATTTTTGTATACGCCTTGTATCTCAAAAGATACATCTAAGCTAAAGCTAAAGATGCTGAGAAGCAAGATGAAAAAAGCTAAAGATGCAAATGGTCGAAGGGGAGGGGGGGTTTCACCCCCTCAGACTGAAATTCCGCATGAACGGAAAATAGTTTCGCATTACGGGATGAACCAACTACTTTACTTCCGCACAAAGTTTCGCGCAAAGAATGTTTTGAATTTCCGGCTTTCCCAGTCAGCTTTCCTTGTCAGCTGAACAGAGTCGATCGCGCACAGCTCAGCGGTCTCGACTCGACGTACATTCCGTGCCCGATGCTCGACACGGCTGTGCGAGACTCGCCACTCGCGGTGGGTGGTGACGGTATGATGTTTCGCGGTCGGCTCAACACGCCCATTGCGTCAACACGCGATTCCGTCATCTCGGCGTGAAGCGCGATCGCATCGCGACTCTCTCGTAGGAACAAACGCTGAATATAAATATCCCACGTTAATGGCAATGCGCGCGCGCGCAGGGTCGTTGAAATTTTCCAGTCTCCGGTTCGGATCGATTTGAGGAGGGGACGACGACGACGACGACGACGATGACGCTTCCTCCCGCGTCCGGAAGTTTATTTCCCCGCAAGAAACCGCGGCCGCATCGCAGCGTGTAACGAGCTTTGTTTGAAGACGCGCGCGTTTTGCTCGGAGAAGACTGACACTTCTGCTTCTTGGACGCGCGTTTGCGCTCGTAAGAACCAAAGACCTGAGTCTTTGGTGTCTCCCTCGACCGAGATCCGTCTGTTCTCCTCGTTCGATCTCTTCCTCTCCCACGTAGAATCTTTCTCGCTGTAGAACCGTTCTCTCTCTACTAGAGTTTTTCAGAGGACTCCTCAGCAGAACCGCGCCGTGAACCGCGCGATCGTCCGACGAACCGATCCTCTCTCCTTGCCAATTTTTCTTTTCTCTCGCATAAGGCGCGCTCCCCAACCAGACCCAAACCAGTCGCTACGACCGTAAAGACAAATCCTTCTTCCGCGGCCTTTGTGCAAACAAACGATATCGAGAGATTCGCCTTCACCTCACCTCACCTCACCTCACCTCACCTCGCCGCAGCTCGCCTCGTCTTGCTCGGCGTAGGCAGGGAGAGTGCATCGTACAACGGAGATATGCACTACCGAGCTCAAGGAGGCCCGCTCGCACGCACTCACGCACGCACACATGTAGTATACAACATACGCTCGTACATTTGCACGCAGACTTTGGACGGCGTCCTTTGCGACATCGCCTGGAACATTCGCGAGGACGCGCTGCAATTTCTCTCTGCGGCGAGAAACCGCCTTTCCTCCTTGAGCGCGCTGTCGCGCTGAGTGCATACGAACAACAAAGTGAATTTCCGATTCGCCATGCGTCGGCAGACGCATCTCTCTTGTCTCTCTCTCTCTCTCTCTCTTTTGCATATCGCCCTAT